TAGAAGTTAAACAAACGAAGTTTGAACGGCGATAGACATATCTTGGTAATTTTTCAGAATTTTGCAAATGAGCTGGGAGACGTGCGCGATTTAGGAAAGACATTAATTTGCATTGTTTTCAAGATGAAGGTGAATGAAAGCTCAAGAGATACCCGAAGGTTTGAGGCAATCGGTGACCTCATTGGTGTATAAACTGTCCTCCGATATGTTTTTTAGCTCGATTTACGCCTGTAATTTGAGAATTCTTTCAGTTAAATTGGTTAACTTTTCATATGCAAATTAAGGTCGAAGGGAAGAGTCTCCTCTGATCACGCTGGTATGAATAGGATTTCAAGTGAAGTTTCCATATTTTGTCTGTAAACTGACCGAATACAGCTTGCAACTTGAAGCAGGAGAGAATTCCGTGAGCTACACTACTCTCGATCGTTGTCTACTCGGGTGGTCTAGCCAAAAGTCAATTTTCGCTCCTGTTGAGACAAAAAAAGAGAATTGGAAGACAACCAAACTATATTTGAAACCTGTGTCCTAAACCCTTTTCATAGGAAAGAAAATTAAGCAAAAATTTTCTTTGGACGGGAAGTCGAGAGGACCGCTTTTAGCGAGAGTAGCACTTAACCCTCGATCATCATGTGACTCGTTTAATTACACTTCTAAGTTCTCGTTTTTTCAATGTATAATATATCGGTCTTGGCCTTTGTTACGGCAAGTCAGTTTCATGCTAAATCATCAGTTATTTCACTCGGCCCGTTCACATCAATAGGAAAAAATATCTGTAAGTTGTTAGTCCTTTTTTCGTTTTTATTCTTTATGTCTTTTCCAATACTCTCGCCGCTTCGCGGCTCGCCTCGCCCCTTCGAGGCTCATTCGTACTAACCTCGGAAAATCGCCGCTTCGCGGCTCAACATAGCTGTCGGCGGATAAAAGCGGAAAAGCAATATGGCGACTCAAAATACGGGAAAGACGTCCGAAATCAAAGGAAAATAAATTCTGCTGTGCTCCCTTGGCAGTATTTGGTAGTTCCACATGCAGACACTCACTGGAAGAACAAGACGGTAGCTGAAAGTTGTGCCTGAACCGATAATTCGCTTGGAGCTGAACGATATATCGGCGATATATCGAGGTTGATAGAACAATAGCCTTGCGAAATATCGCCGATATATCATTCCAACTGAAACATCGTTTAAATATCGTCGATAAATTTCGATTATCGCGATAATAGACAATTGTCGTTTGCGTTACGTTTGCACAGTACTGTATATTAAGAAATGTTTTGATTAGGCAACATTCATTTGAAAGTTTTGGCTGTTAACCAGATGATGTGTTCTTACCTTTTATACTCTGGTGCTCCATGAGAGGCCTAAGTTCGAAATTGGGGATGTCTAGGTTCAGCCGTTGAGACTCTCAAACGAATGCGTCAGCGCAAGGTTTTCTCAAGTAGGCTTCAAAAATTAATCAAAAAGTATGTAAAGGGTTTGGGTATTCCGCCTTTTTCAGTGCTCAATACCTTTTTAGATGATGTCTGTTCTGTTTCATATTTCTAAGCAAGCTTTTATGTGTAAGGACACCAATAAAGAAATAAATGAATGAAATCCATAATAAGGATAACAATCACAACCTTGATCCAAGAAGTAGAATGTTGCTTTTCTTTCTTATGCCAAACGGAAGACATCATTTCTTAGATT